AAACTTATCTAGATGATTTCAAGCTCTAGAATAAAGAAGTCCGTTCTCTCTAATACAAACATTCAATAAACCTTCAATATTTTGCATAAATCAAAGCATAAATAAAATTGGGGTTTAGGTTTTTATATTTTCCGTATTCAAAATAATAATATAATTAAATTGAATACAAATAATAGTAAAGACGCATATCATTTTTAATTTAAATCGTAATTACTGGTATAGTGTAAAGCGGGGATTAAAGGTCCTCGGGTAAAATGTTTCATCACCGGTATCTCAAAAACAAGTAAAGTTAAAATTTTTTTCACAACAATATTTGAAAGTAGAGAGAAAAGATGTATAACCAGCCATCACCTTGATCCTTACGACGTCTCTATCGAGAGATAAACGGTAAAGTTTGAAAATAAGTAACAAAAGTATTTTCCTTCGTTGTTAGTTTTTTGATTGTGAGCACTGTTGCTTAGTTCACCAGATCTTAATATAATTTTCAAGTATACGTTAATTGTTTCATAAGAACAGTTTTTTTATAAAACCTCTACAAAAGCTTACACTTAGGTGGGGTAAAAAAGACCAACTGAATCTTTACCCTGGCAAAGGTATGACCAGTTAAAATTAAGTTTAAAAAAACGCGTTTTCAAAAGATAAATTCAATAAATCCAACTCTGCTGATGAACATTTCTGACATAATACCAGATCGAGATTATATATATTGTAGGAACCACCGATGACAACAAAATACCACCGTCGATGCCAAACATATATGTAGGTTCTTTCTGCTGCTAACAAAGCTGTTATTAAACTGTGGAGACTGATCACAATATATTTACTTAAAGTCAAATTGGATCTTTGTGTCCCTCGCCCTACCCTACATATTTTTATATCCTAATATTATAATTTGAATACATGAATTTTAGTAGTTACTTTTTAGACCCTCTGTAGTTTCAGGATATTTTTATTTAAAAAAAATACATGTAATATAAATATATAAAGCGCACATGATTCATTATTATGTCAATAAAAATGAATATCAAATGAACTAGTATCGAAATAAATTGTAACACATAGTTTACAATGAGAAATATAAAATATGACGAAAAAGAAACTTGTGTACATATGCTTATAGCTTTGTTTTGCATTCTCTAAATAGTATTATAAATAAGTTGTATTAAATGATGTAGTATAATTATTATATGCGTAATTTTGTGGTTGATTTGCACTTTAGGCGTTACTCAGCACAGAAGCGAGCATTTAGAGGCCAATTATTTATTAATTTTGCTCTACGTATTATATTAATTTTTATTAAGTTACGTATTATTATTAATAATAGATATTAATGAATTGAAATTGCGAAAAGCATGTGTTACTTTTAAATTTTACAAGAGATTCATCCGCAGTGACTGTCTTAATTTGTCTTTAAGCCATATATATGGTATGAATTATTTCCTAAATGTACAACTGTTGTTCGTATTGTTTGTTACTATATTTCTTGTCCCATCTAAAAAAAAAAAATCAGGAAATCATGCGAATAATTTGCCGTAATAACTCAATTTCTTATGATCACTAATTTTGGAAGTGCCCAAAAGATTGCAACATTTTACTTACGCATATGTAATTTCAACCTCCTAAGCACACTTTAATTTCTCTTCTATTTTAGCAATATATAACTTTTACAAAACAACTGATGTTTATTTGTTTATTTTCTCTTTCTTTGCATGCATAAATTTGCATTTTGTTATGATGTTTTTAAAATGATGTAGATTGTAATCATTGTTTTTCGCGAAACTTGTTTTCGCAGATCTGTATCGTGACTGAAATCATGGCTTTCATGTTTTGTGTTGAGAGTTATTTGATCTTGAAAGAAAATTTTCTGCTGCATAATAGAAGAATGGCGTGAACTTTATATTTTTTAGATTTTACAATTTTATTTTATTTGAAAGAAGGTTAGAAGCAAACAAGTTCTATATTCAGCTTTTATAGACGCATGTTCACAATGTAGAAAAATAAAAATCATAAGGAGAAATTTAAACGAGTTTCAGCCTTCATAGTAGTGCGAGGGCGCGGAATCGATCCCTCGAAAGTTCTATCCTGAAATTGAGAAGCAGTACTATCAAATATCGTCCTAAGCCATTATAATACATTACGATGTTGAAATGCAATGCGAAATCCTTGTCAGCCTATGAAATTTCTTATCTAGAGAAATATGTGTATATAATATATTCATATATTATGTCGATTCATGTGTCAAGCATGAAAGTGCTTATGATTATCTAGATCGATTTTTATGAAATATTTTTTGTGCGATTAGGTTGATTTGAGAGTTGTACGGATTTATAGCTCAATCCGATGCAAATAAAGTTTTATTTCTACTATTTCCTTCGTTTCAAATTTTTATTCAACTCAAGTAGTGAAGTAAACGGAGCGTTTTAGGTCTGAATTTTTTTACTGTGCTCCGAATTGAATGAAATTTTGGAATTAGGTTCATCTTACCCTCAAGTTCAAAAGTGAAAACAATTCGGGTTGCGCCATCACCCCCGGGGGGATGACACCCCTTCTCAATTGTGTAATCACATTCTTCCAAAATAACGTCGGAAATCGATAGAAGAATTAATTATAAGAAAAAAATGTCTTTAATAGTTTTTCAAAAAAACTAATACTTTTCAAGTTACTGGCCACTAAAGATTCATATATTTCTGGCGTTTTTCTTCGTTTTTTTGCAAATATCTCCTAAAATATACATTTTAACGAAAATCGTGTAATGAACAAAATAATGTCAATAAAAATCTTAATAAATCGGTATTACAAAAAGTGTTCTAGAAAAAATATTAAGCAAGATTTGAAAGAGCAAAGTCGTTTTTTATTTCGTTCAAAATTTAATTGTTGTATTTAAAGCCATCTAGTGTCGAGGTTTTACATTTTATGCATTTAGGTGAAATTGGGTTTTATAGTGCTCAACATAAGCTTTAAAATGAGTGCTGATACAAGTTTTTTGCGTGTAAAATGAGTGAGCTATCGTGCAAATAAGAAACATATACGAAGTTTTTTTCTTTTAAATCATGTGGTTTAATGAGCGCCATTTCCATCAGAATTAAAGTAATTCACATTCCATCTAGAATTCACTTCATTATAGACATCTTGATGGATTCTAGCAGATTAATTACTTTAGTACAAACTATTTTCAGAAAACTCACGATTTTATAAAAACTTTTTTTCCGTTATTTTGGAAAAATGTAATTAGGGGTGTCATCCCCCCGCGGAATGATGGCGCAACCCGAATTGTTTTCACTTTTGAACTTGAGGGAAAGATGAACCTAATTCCAAAATTTCATTCAATTCGGAGCACAGTAAAAAAATTCAGAGGTTATACCCTTTTTTCCTCTCCGTTTACTGCACTAAAGGTGTTTTATAGTAGAGCATTTCTTTCGTGCATCTCAAAATTGTCAATACAGATGAAAATGTTTTCAATACACATTTTTTTTTCCACAAAACAACCTCATTGCAGGCTTCATAAAACAGGGGAACTGATTATAATTGTGTCACTTTTTTTGATCAGCCATTATTTTGTTAATTTACCAGCTAGCAAGAACAAAAGTAAATTAATTGGTAATTTGAACAGTACGCAAAATCTAATTGCTGGTAATTAACTACTAATGTTATGAACTATATCGTATCGGTTCTAAAATTGAAAATAATAAATCGGAGTTATATTCCGTGAAAGTTTTTCGTCATCACTATTTATCTTTTAGACTTATTATTATTCTGATCTAAACAAATTTCACATATAGTCATTTAAACAGACCTTACTTCATTATTATATACAAATATGTATATATTATAATTTGGTTTGCGATTTTATTCGCTTTGCAAAACACCTCGTTAAAACGTTATTCGACCAATCAACGATTTTATATTTCAGTTATTAAATATTGGGTACATCAAAAAGCATTTTAATTAAAATGTTGTTTCAATGTATAAATGAAATTATTCAATTATTGCATGCGCAATAAAATAATAGAAACGTTTGTCATTATTGTTGACTTTCCGCAGGGTTTTAAGTTAAGATTTTTACCTGTTTTAAGATTCAGTTTAAAATTTGAAATACGTTATAAAAATATATTATACAGTTCAGACAAGAATTTAATTTTTAGTTTTATAAGAATTTTATTTCAGTTCAAATTCGTATACGTTATTAAGGCAACATAAATTATAAACTATGTATATCTATCAAAATGTATATTTAACACATTTAGTCGAATTATGTATTTATAACTTCTATATAAATTACACATGCATACATTCTAATATTTAAAAATAAACTAAATTTAAGTCTTGGTAAAAATATTGGCAAAAAAATCCAATTCTTTGGACCAGGGTATTATATGCACAAAGGTCCAATTTGACTTTAGTAATTATACTGTCTATACTAAAATGAATTACATCACAACACATAACACGTATCAAACCACTATCAAACTATGTTCAGTAAGACTCCTAATTAATTCCTAATCTTAGAATTTTTTTTACTGTTTTTCTAAATTTTCTTCTGTCTCTTTTTAACCCATATGCTGGATCCTGACGTGCTGGATTTAAGGCGATGGGTGGTTACACATCTGTTGTTTCCCTCTACTTTCAAATATTGTTGTCAAAGCCATTCCTAATTTTACTTGTTTTCAAAATATGGTGCTGGATCTTTATACTCGCAGACCTTTAAGCCCCGCTTTACCATATATCTTAATTAGTGTAATTACTTAATTCACAAAAAAATTTACTCCTCTGTAAATTAGCTCGGCATTAGATTTTTATTTGGACTAGTATATGAAAGCTGAAGACTAATTTTGAATTACTTTTATGGAAATATTGCTTTGTGATTATTATTATACAATTAATTACAATAACAAGATAATATTACAGGACTTTTTTTTAATGCTAATTGTTCTTTACTTTAATACTTTATTATATACTATTTTTTTTCAAAAATATTAATTTAGTATCTTTTTTTGTTACAGATCTTCACTTTGGCGCTATCACAAAAATCAAGGTAACAATTGACAACTATTTTTCTTTGTATATTTTATAGAATCTGTTTATAATAATTCAGTATTTAATTATGCATAAAGTTTTTCCTTTATGTATAAAGTTTTTCCTTGTTTTTTTAAGTGATTAATCATGATTGTATTTATTTGCATAATCATTTAGAGCTTATCTATCATTTGCATAATCATTTAGACTTTAGAGTATCTATTATTTTATCTTACTGATTTTTTTCTTATTTTATCTGTACGATATAATTATCATATTCATTTAAAATTACGATTTTGCGTAAAATTATATCTACTTAAATTAATTGTCTTAAAAAATTATATTAAGTGTTCGCCATCTGGCCAGGTGTTTTAAATGAAGATTGTAAAATGTCTTGTAGTATATATCATTAAGGACAATGTAAAGATGACAGAGCAGTTGTTAAAAGAAAAAATATGAATCGTTTGACAATGAAAACTTCCCTCGAACATTTACTGAGATTATGCTTTTCTTTGGCTGTCTTTGTGTTTTCAGAAGCTTTAGGCAAAAGTAATTTTTTTTTAAGTGATTAATCATGATTGTATTTATTTGCATAATCATTTAGAGCTTATCTATCATTTGCATAATCATTTAGACTTTAGAGTATCTATTATTTTATCTTACTGATTTTTTTCTTATTTTATCTGTACGATATAATTATCATATTCATTTAAAATTACGATTTTGCGTAAAATTATATCTACTTAAATTAATTGTCTTAAAAAATTATATTAAGTGTTCGCCATCTGGCCAGGTGTTTTAAATGAAGATTGTAAAATGTCTTGTAGTATATATCATTAAGGACAATGTAAAGATGACAGAGCAGTTGTTAAAAGAAAAAATATGAATCGTTTGACAATGAAAACTTCCCTCGAACATTTACTGAGATTATGCTTTTCTTTGGCTGTCTTTGTGTTTTCAGAAGCTTTAGGCAAAAGTAATTAAAAATAATTAATTAGATACGAAGGAACGGATGTGAATTATGGTCTGGTGGAAATGAAATTCGCCCAAACGAACTTCCGATGCAATCGCTTGTATTTTATCATGACAAAACGACCAGCCTCCAGATACTTCCGAAAGAATTTTAATATTAACGTTATTGGCATGTCAGTTACATAACTTGGATTAACATTTATATTACATCTTAAAATTGGGAATTTAAATATTTTGATTGAAAATAAATATTGGCGTTATTGATTTTTTCGTTCACTGGATAAACAATACACATGGGTATGAAAATGATACATGATAGAAGTATATGGGTCATTCTTTTACAAATCGCATGGATTTTGGAGTAAATAAAATGTCACATTTTAGATTTGCCTGATTTTTTTATGGATATTATACATAAAATCATTTGACACGTATTTCAGGATTTAGCTGAAAAAAAAAATTTTACGTAAATAATTACGATTTAAATATGAATGATTTGCTCATTTTCTATCGACATCCTCTTCATTAAATTAAATACCTTCAGTTGCGCTGATCAGATTAGTATTTATTTTACTCATATTGAAGTCAACTTCATTATAATAACAACCCCTAAATGTTTACAAAGGTTTTACCTACCTTTTCCCCAACTTGAATCGATTGAGGAAAAAACATATTTTTTCTTTTCATTCTCTGCAACAAAATTCTTTTTACAATTTGTTGGAGACTGCGCTTTCCACGTCGGGGACCTCAAAGACCCTGTACAGATTTGTCACTTTTGAATGTTCATCTTATTGTTTTTTGTTGAAAAAATATTTTATAATTTAATTCTGGGAATAAATAAATATATAGTCAAATAACAATTTATTAGGGGAAAGTGGGACTTAAGGGTCATTTTGTTCTCACTTTCCCTAATATTTTACACACATATATGAAACTATTTAGGAATGATTTTTTTATTTTGTCTAAATGATTCCTACTTCTATTTGTGTATCATGACATGTTCAGTGTATGAAATATTGAAGTTAGATCGGAAATCTGAAAATACAATTGATCATAATTAATAAATATATTTTCTTTCATAAACATAATAAATTCTCATAATAAATAATGGAGACAAATTTTTGTATTAGACTTAGACAATAACTTTTTTTGTATTTGTTTATTATTTTTTTTTATTATTCACGGATTTCTCGAAAATCGGCGCCCAGTTCTATGGCTTCAGTAAAAAGCAATTTAATACAAACTCGAGACATTTAGCTTCGATTGTACAAATTCGAGATATTTGTGCCACCTAAAGCAATGATATTGGAAAAAAAAACTAATTACGACATCCGCAATACACACTTTATGTTTATATTATAATATGAATTTTTTTCTGAAAAATGCATATCATTGCTTTATATTGTTAGAGAACAATTACCTATAGAAAAATTAACGATAAAAATTGTTCCATATCATTATTCTTTTGCTTCGTGCACGATTTTGTAGGGTCATACATCAATTATCAATGAAAATGCAACAGGTATTAACTTTACTTTTATATTATTATTTATATCTTCAAAAGGCTTGTACTGCCTGATTTTGTACGATATTTTTTGAGTAAAAAGCTACTTTCCAAAAAAAATCAATTTTACATATAATATAATATGTTTAATAATTTAATGTTACATATAATATGTTTTCAAATAAATTTTTACTGGAAGCTTTGTTCTATCCAAAAATTGATTAGCACATAAAGTCCGACCGTCAGATTTTCAAAAGCAATAAAATTAGAGATGATTTTCCAATTCAAAGTTCAAGACGGGTTATTTGACCCGCCTTTGGTATAATTAGTGTTATTTTTAATTTAATTTAATTAATTTCAAACTAAATTGAATTTCTTCATTTCATGATAGATAAGATACTATCAATGCTAGCATTATATGAATGTTTTTGGCATATATTCCTTCTTTTCTAATTTATAATAGATTTTATACATATCCGAATATAAAACGTAGTATGTGAATAGACTTTCACAAATATCTTTCGGATTTTATCTATTTGGATATATTAGTTCTCGTCTATAAAAATTGCTGATTCCATCTTAAATTTATAAACAATTCCGAGTTAATTAGAATTTGTATAATGTGATAGCATGGAAAATGTCGATAAACAATAAAAATGCGGAAACATATTTTCCAAGTTCTGATGCAGATTAAGAATTTGTGCTGCTGCGACCAAAATATTTATCTGCTATTAACCCACAAAGTTTGGCATCGCAATATATCCGAATTGTGGTTAACCCACAACTTTGCATATTAGGTTTAACGCCATTATACTCGTACATCAAATGTGTGGATATAACCGGTCATCCATCATGTAAATGTTCAACTTTCTCCATTAAAAAAAGTTATTTAGGGTTAAAATACTCAAATAAAATATTGCATTTTCGTTTAAGTTCAGTTTGAAATGTTTTTGCATTTATAATTGCAAAGCTTCGTTAAAATGAGTGTTCATTATATGGTGTGAAATAATTTAGAGGATTTAATCGAAATAATATATTATGCACCAATTTAATGTTGTAATTAGGCTTGCAAAATAGAATTTTGTATTATTTCAGAAATTGAACAGCCTATATAAGAATATTTTTCAAGAATGCTGTAATTTGATTTTTTCCATAATCCATTTATTAACATTTATATTCACTTTCATTGCAGTAAGATTTGTTCATATTTTACTCTGCTTTTTTGACAAAATTAACATAGGAAGACTGGGTACGTTTTTGCTATTTTTTTTCAGCAATCAGTCTACATAGAAATGCTGAAATACTGTTTTTAAATATGATTGATGTAATGTAATGATTGTATTTAATTGCAAGCAAGACTTAAATTATTGTAATGATCAATTTGCATTATTTGCATTAAATTTGACGTCAAAATATTTTTTTTATTTCTTTTTTTTTTTAATAACGATCAGATTAGTTATATTTCATGAGTTATTTTCATTATTAGCAACGAAATATAATTATAGATAGTAGTTATCCTAGTGGGTGTGTAGTCCATTCTGGTGTATGGAGCAGAATATATTTTCTTAATGTTTAAAACTTTGATGTTTGACAATTACCCGGAAATCTATGCTGCTACTATAATGTTATTGTACATTTGAATTCAGAGAACATTCTATTCGTATGTGATATGTGTGCTAACTGGCCGCTGACATATTGCTCTGTACGGGATGTTTCTATCATTTTGTTGCCATGTGGTGATAGTTTTACCTGTGGTTAAATTTATTTTCTATCCATTGATGTATAATATACATGCTGAACAGTTATAATAAATTATTTATTGAAAGTACTGACAAATGACCATTGAAATTGTCTTTTGTCCTAAATGTATGGTATCTTTGTCTGGATGCACTGTAGTTTAGGTGGCGATCTACTGAAAAAAATTCAATAGAAATTCAATTTCTGTATTATTTCTGTTATTGTATTAAGAACTTGGTTGTTATATTTATTCTATCTAACATTGTTTAATCCCGTCATAGTTCATATTCTATCTAACATTGTTTAATCCCGTCATAGTTCATATTCGTTGTTCAGGATTTCAAGTGTGACGTCTTAAATTAATGTTTGCTCGTCAGTCAGTCACCTCTCTTTCAAAAATAGTATTCAAAGAGAATATTATATGTAATTGCAACACACATGTAATAAGAAAAATAACGTTTTATATGTTAAGGTTATATCCCTTGCGATTGCCGAATTAGTTAATCAAAAGAAAAGTAGGCGTATGTTGTTGCATTCAGCCATTTTTTTTATTATAATATAATATCTGATTTTTCTAGTATGTATATTATATAATGAGTTGCATCAAATTTTGTGTGATAATTTGAATTATGTGTTCTAAAACTTGAAATTTAAAATGTGGTGTAAGATGAGTGTGCTTTAAATAAAAAATGGTACTGAGCAAACTCTTCTAAGATGGCCGAGAATATGCCGACGATGCAATTGGCTCTATCGAAGCTACGAAGAAGAAAATTGTTTTCGAATATTAACATATTTAAATAAAATTA